AATATATATTATATATTACTATACAATAGAGTGTAGTAACTATAAGTATAATATAGAGGTAGTTTAAACTTTAAACTATTCATTTACGCTGTTATTGATCTACAGGCCACTAAAAGTTTTAAATGATATTATTCATTAAAAAGAAGCGTAACACGAAGTATAAAAACACAGTGGTGCATTATCCTGTGGGCAAAAAGGGCAATTGCGTGAGGCCCCCATCAACAGGGGCCCCAAACTAAACTAATCTTTTATAAACTCATCACTGTAGTAAGAATATCGAAATTTAAATATGGCGCCCTGTAGATTGCCAGTGTGTCGCAGGAATAGAGCATAAATTGCAATTAAAAAAAAAAAAACTATTTCCCTTAAAAATTTCCCCGAAGAAAAATGTCTGAAGTGAACACTGTAGATGAGGCCCCCAATTCAACTTTGCCCGGATCCCCATAAAGTTATAACTGCAAAAACATATAAAATTCAATAGATTTAGAATAAAATTGTAAAAAATGAAGTTATATCAAATCCACGATTAACAGGTATCATAATGATAACGAACAAATTAATATAAAGGTATTTATTCTGAAATATAATATTCGTGTTGCTTAAATATTCATCTAAAAGATTCGTAAATTGTCGACCTTAGCATCTGTCATCGAAGGAATCGTGACAAAAAGCTAGGCCATCGCTTGACCCTTAGGATAAGTCACGATAGAGTGAAAGTGTATATCACCTCGGGACATATAATAGAATTGGTGCATGTCAAAGAGAAGGCGATAGAATATATAAAAAGCCGATCGGCATCGTCACGAATACTTTTTTTTTTCGTTCGAGTAGTGAAGACCAAGAAGAGACATTCGATTTTGATATGAAGAATTTACTATTTTCTTTCGGTAAGTTTATTATATATTTATAAAAATTAGATATATTTATAAGGCTAAATTTATAATATTTTATTTCTATCCATTTAGTTCTAGCCATTTCTATCTGTTTTATACAAGTGAGTATCCAAGTATCAAAATTTCATGCATCGAGATACTGTATTTTAAATGTATATATATAATACTAAATATATTTTTAATTACTATCTTTTAGAACCAGAATTTCTTTCCTAGAAAGGTAAATTCTAGATATAAATCGGAATTAAGTAGAAAAAATATACGCCTTAACGGTTTCAGACCCGATTTTACACCTTTTCTATCACGCAATGGAAAATTGGGAAGATTACAATATTTGGCTTCTGGTTCCTCTCAATTATACGACGCCGACAATGGAGAAAATGGAAATTTTAATTTGAATAACGGACAAAACGGTAAAGACAACGGAAAAAATGGCTACCGAAACGGACATAATAACGGTAATCGTGGGCAAAACGGAAAACGTAACGGACAGAACGGAAGAAAAAATGGATACGCAAATGGCCAAAACGGTTATAAAAATAATAAAAAAATCGATAATTATAATTTAAATCGAAATGGGATAATGAATGGGCGCGATGGAAACGAAGAACCTGTATTTTTAACAGAAATCGAAACACTTTCGATATTCGGTAAACCGGGAGAAGATTTTCCAATTTACTACAACGTACCGGAAACGGAATTTTCCTGCTCTAATCAGCTATATCCCGGATATTACGCAGATACCGAGACAAGATGCCAAGTAAGTCGTTTCTTTTTTTTTTTTTATTTCCAAAATAACCGCGACCTTGTCTATGTACCGACCTTTCGTAAATAACATTAGCGTCACACTTAAATATTATAAACGACGTAAGTAACTTATGACATCGATGAAAATAATAATTAATTTCTTTTTTTCTTTTTCTCAGATTTTTCACGTCTGTCATCAAGATGGCCGCCGAGATAGCTTCGTATGTCCAAATGCTACCGTGTTTAGCCAAAAAAATTTCGTCTGCGCTTGGTGGTACGATGTAAAGTGCGAAGATGCCACAAAATATTACGATTTAAATCAATATCTTTATCAAGAACCCGAAGAATCCGATATTGATGAAGAATAGATTATAGTTTTATTGTATATATATGTCTGTGTGTTTCTAACGAATAAAGAGCATTAACTAACACTTTTTTGGCCTGTTTTTGTGTGGAATAAAACAGTTTTTTCTACATCTCCACCTTGAAAATAGCTGAAAAATATCGTCATTCGTGTAGAAAGGAAAAGTAGTTGATCTCATCGTGATCCACCTAGATTTTTTCTGCTGTTTTTTTTTTATTTTTGTGACGTCAAGGTTTCATAATAGTCCTACTTTCGTAGAATTAGTATTTTGGGAGGAAACAGTGATCTGAATTTTAATTCGGGTGAAGTACTAATGTGCTTTTATAGACTCGGATGTTAAGTCTTCACTTGAAAACGTGCGCTCATCTCTAAATTTCTCATGTTTTATGTTATCTGTACTTGATAAAAGCCGAGTGTTGTGTTTATAAAATTAATTAATAAGTAAATTTCTGAACGTTTCTTCTCGGAATCGTCATAACAGCAGGAAATAGTGATGTGAATTTTAATTCGGGTGAAGTTACTAATGCGTTTTTAAAGCTTCGGGGTAAAGTTTTCACTTCAAAACTGTGGTCATCTCTAAAATTCTCATAATTACTTCAACCATAATATTGTTTATACCAAATGAAATAATATTTTTAGTGGATTATGCTTAATTAATGAGCACTTTTCTGTAATGCTGCTGGGGGAAATAGTGATGTGAATTTTAATTCGGATTAAAAACAAGAGTTTTTATAGTTTCAATTGTGAAGTTGATACTTTAAACCTGAATTAGATCATGAATTCATGTCTAAAATTTTCATGGAATATAAAATAATGAGTAATTGACAACGATCACTGTACATTTCTGCTGATTTTAATGCTTTTAAATTACTTATAAATTAGAATTAATGTTTAAAAATGAAGAATTATTTAGAAATTTAATCGAAATTAACATTTCTTTTATTATATGCACCTTATCTATAAGTATTTCCTCTTCTATCCACCCAATAGTCCTTGAAACAGTATTATGCTGTCAGACAGATATATAAATATACTTTACTGTGACGGAATTTTTACGAAAAAATAAATGATTATATAAAATTTATTTTAATCTTTAAAAATCTGTTACATTTCTCATATTTAATTTAAATTTTGGTAATTAATGTGCGAAAATATTTATTGCTATTTACGCGTGATTTAAAGAAAATTTTCATGTAAGGTTGTTCTGGAATTATATTTTTTCAGGTAATATTAATGCAAATTTTCAGTTTTTTCCATTTTTTTATAATAATAAAAAACACATTAGAAGTAAAAAAAAAACAAATTTTCCAAGAATTATGCTCATTTACAATTGAAAAAATGAAGTGAATAATAATAGAAAAATTATTTAAAGGATGTTTAATAGGGGAGAAAATGATTTATAGATTCTTTTTTATATAAAAATACACAACTTTTTTATATTAAATCAATTTTCTCAAAGATAAACATCTGATTTCATTCACGAATTATAACAACTTTTATATTAGAAGATACGTTCTATTCGTTAAAGAATTATAATGTAATTTTTCATGCATTGTCTGTAAATGACCATAAAAACGAGTGAAACGAGATAATGCACGCATGTATGAAAATACAACTTATGCATTCGAGTGTAAAACTGCACTTGACAATTTATTAATATTTAATTACATTTCAATTGAATTTATTAAATTTTCTCTTCTTTAAATTCATTAAATGTATATTTAAACAGATAAATAAATTTTTGTAGATTATTTGCATTTTATTTTACTCACAATGCTCGTAAAGATGGCTTTGCATTAATTTCTATCTTTCCCCTTCCTTGAATAATATTAATTTTTAAGTTATTAAACAAATTATCTATTTTATTAACTGTAAATGATTTAATAAATTAATTTTTTATACTTCTCAACTCAGTTGTCGAGGAAAGAGACACGCGATTATCTTATTTAGGAAGTGTTTTCTTGCTATAACTTAATACATAGTGGAAAAATTTTAACAAATATAAGTCCTATATGATATAAATTTCATTTACGAGGAATATATTTCATAATTTTCTTATTTGAATATAGTTTATGCAAAGGAAAATGAAAGATAACAGAGTGTAAGAAAGACGAGGTTTAAATGGTTTAAAGATGTGTTTTTATGCATATGAAAGACTGTCTAAAAACAGAAATTGAAGGCATAAATTATAATCAACCTCTTGTACTAAGACGACACGATTAATTAATTGATTAGTGTATAAATTCACGGAATATCGAGTTAAATGTTTACCTGTTACGAAGAGAATTATTAAACATTTTGCAACAGGTAAGACAGCCAACACGAAGAAAGAACACGCATCAATATTATCGATTAAACATTCAATATTTATACTCAGGAACGAATTTACTCACGAATTAAACAAGCTACAGCTTAGGGCCTCGCATCATCAGGTCGAAATGGGCCTCACGTTACAAGAGAGCCTTACATTTCCAAATTTATAATTTTCTGTAGAAGAAAAGATCTTCATACCCTATAATTTAAGACCCCATATAAATTTCCAATCGATTCATTAGCAAAGTTTTAATAATTCTCGACAAGAAAATTAAATTACGGACCACTTGTAAATTTAATCAGACACACGCGACATAATTATTTTAGTGACGTATGTTACCGAAATGACGCTGAGAATTTTTTTTTTTTTTTGAATTTTTAAAAAATCCATGAATTTTAAAATATCAGTCGGATTTTACTTAATTAAAAAAACGGCAGCATCGATTTTTACAACGAGAAAAAGAGGAAAAAATTTACAATTCAAACGATACCGAAATACAACTGATTCACCTAATTCGAAGACTAATTAGGGTTTCTACTTCTGTAAAACAATCACCCGCCTTGGTTTTGGTAATGAGAGGCGTTTTTACAGGTTAATAATCAGTTCTCCACCTCCTACCATTCGAAAAGATGACGCACAGTCCTTGAGATTCTAATGACATCCGTTTTCATTTTCCTATAAAAGTCACCCCCTCGCTTGATTTTTCTAAACTTATTTAATTTCCTTTGGCTTCTAACACGTCCAAGACGTGTGAAAAAAAAAAATGCCTTCTTTAATGAGTTATTTTGTTTTGTCAATAATTTTGGGTGAGTTTTAATTCTTTATTTCTTCCCATCTCTGTCAGCTGATTAGAAAATATTTTAATGTTTTATTATTTTAAAATAGGAAATTTTATTATTTTCTTTATTTTGTATAGTTTTGACGTGTTTTTAATGATTTATTATATCACTTCTTTTGATGAGTAATGATTACAAAATGAAATTACGTGTGTGTGTCTGTATGTCGATGCGGGTGTGATATTGCACATCTGGGAATTTGTAGTACTTAAATTGTATTAATTTCTTTAAAATTGTAAAAAGTTTAATTTAAGTAATAATTAAAATTTAATTAATTATATAAATTAAACAAACTCTATACTTTTATACAAATTATATGCTCAAAATATTGATTTTATAATGTCACTCATTGCACGAGCCAACGCGTATGCTTCTCTAATTTAAACGAAATTTATTAATAATTCTTATTTAAAAATTATTATTTCTAAATTTCCTTAAATTCAGTTAGAAACTCCAATAATTTTAATTATCTGAAATTGAGAATGTGATAAGAAGCGATCATTTCAGTAATTATGGAACCATAAGTACTTATTAAATAATTATTAATTCATTCATTTTAATAACTTAATTCTGAAGTATAAAATTAAGAAAACAAATCAATTTTAAATTAATTAATTAACAATTATTATCCTTTCTTTGCAGGAATATGTTCCCTTTATAAAGCAGAGGTGAGTTAAAAATGAATTAAAATAACAAAGAATAAAGATATAAAAGTGAAATTATTATTGAAAATAGATTTTTCGTCTATAATCTTAGAATTTTGAAGATGCCCAAAAAGCTCAACCTGCGTATTATACTCCGGATGAAACTTCTGCTAGGGATTATAGAAATCGAGATGGCTCTGAAGAAAATGCTCTTCCTGATTACTACAGAAACAATTTCGACTGTTCTGTGCATCGTTACTCTTATGGAATGTATGCCGATTTGGACTTTCAATGCCAGGTAAAGTTTATTCAAAAATTCAGTCAAACTTTCATATAATGTCCTTCTAAACAGCGTTACCCTGGTAAAGCTCCAATGGTACTTAAGAACGGATCTTCCCTATTAATATTAAATGAACCTTTCACTAAATAAACTCGGTACTATATATAAATTTTTATTGTTCAATAACTTCAGTTTAACGTTGTACTCGATTTAGTGTCAATTTCAGAGGCGTTAAACTAAAATGTGGCTACATTTTACTCTATTGCTTATGGTTTATTTTAATAGAAAATTTATATTTTTTCTAGGTTTATCACGTCTGTCATAACAACAGAAAAGAATCTTTTCTTTGTCCCAGAGGAACCCTGTTTAATCAACAGATCCTTAGCTGCGATCATTGGTATTCTGTAAAATGTCAAGATTCTCCAAATTTTTACAATGTAAACGAATTGTTGGGAAAATCTTCCAATAATACTTATAATGGGCTAGGTGGGCCTTATTCTACAAGGAGATTCCCTGCCCGTCCTTCTTACGGGCAGCAAGGATATGGAAGTTTGCATTCTCAGAATCAGTTAACTCCATTTTCTGAAAGAGATCAAGCGAATAATACACGTTATGGATCAGATCAAAGAGGTATAGTTGGAGAACAGGATCGTTATGGTCCCTCGACTGGATATGGTACACAATCTGAATTCGATCGTCCTAGGCAATATGGTGATAGTCAAATAGGATCATCCAGACCAACAGGATCACAAGATTCATTATGGAATAGGCAACAAACACAATCACCATTTGATAAGCAACCACTTCCTACCGGATCTCAAAGTTCATTGTACAATAGAAGGCAACCTCAACCAGGATTTCGGGGATCATCTTTTGATACTCAAAAGCCTTTAGCAGGTGTTAAAGGACCTCTTACTGACAGACCAAGGACACGGCCAGGATCTCTTAAACCAGAATATTCTTACGGAAGACAATTTCCTTCAACAGGCTCACAGCGTTATCCCTTTAGTCAGCCCCAACCAGGAGATCGTTTTTCGTCTGGAGGACGGCCATCTGTAACAGGGTCCAGAGATTCTCGTTTCGATAAACCCGAATTACGACCAGGATCTTATGAATCATCGTTCGATAATATACAACCAGGATCTGAAAGATATCCCGATGGAAGACGACCTTTTACAACTGGATCAACACAATATCCTGATGGAAGACAACCCTTTTCAACTGGATCTACACGATCACCTTTTGGCAGACCAGAATCAGGATCTTTTGTTACAACAAAACCAGAAACAAGCAGATACCCTTATGGCAGACAACCCTCATCTCATACTACTTTGGGACCATCATATGACAGATCCAAAATAGGATCAGAACGTTATCCTTCTGGAAGACATACATCTCAACCAGGTTCACGAGGATCAGTTTTCGGTAGACCAGATGTGAGACCAGCTTCTCCAGGTTCATCATTAGACGGAACACAACCAGGATCAGGACGTTATCCATATGGAAGACAACCATTCGAACAACCTGATAGAACACATCCAGGATCAGATCAGTATTCATCTGGAAGAGAATCTCCTGAAATAGGTAAACCATATGGAAGACCAGGATCACAACAACCTCCATTTGATAATCGATTAACAGGTAGACGATATCCCTACACTACTCAAAGGCCAGCAATTGGATCTGGAGGTTACGATGTACAAAAACCTGTAGGCTTCGGAGGTTTACCAGGAAGAGTAAATATGGGTAGGCCGAATCAGTTTTCGACATATCCAAGAGGACCCGGATCACTGAATTACAATGAACCTTCCGATTTCCAAAATACTCGATTTAACCAACAACCACGTGGATTTTCTGGTTCCCGGTCTAACAATCTTCAATCATCTAATTATGGAAGAGGATCTCAGCCATCGAGCTATCCTCGGTCAAATATTTGGGCATCTCCAAGTTGGAGATACAACGAATTCTCCTCGCAGACTTCATCAGAATGGGCTACTGAATCTCCACTTGTAAATACACCAAGAGATGATCTTCAAACAGCATACAGACCCCCAGATCGGTTATCAAATAACAATTATACCGCAACATTTGGTAATCACCAGAAGAGTAGCGAATTGAATGTTAAAGATCGATCTATGCTTGGTCAGCCCTCTCAACAAGGTGAAAGCAGCTTACCTTCATCTGATGAAAAGGGTCTAAAACCAATTCTTGTTTATGAAAATCATGTACCAGTTGCAATAACCAAAAATTCGACAGGAAACGGTAACGCTGCTAAAGAAACAGTTAACGAAGAAGTACCAGCTTATAAATTATACTACGTTAAAGAGGACCAGATAAAAAATTAATATAAAATGTTTAAAATGAGTTTTTATGATTTTATATTCCATATTTTCATTTAAATTTTTTATTATTTTAGAAAGAAAAGTTTATTTTATATTTGTTAATCTTATTATATAAACTCTGTATTTGATATTTAATATAATATATTGAAATTATTGAATATTTATGTTTAACTTTCTTATAAATATGTATAACAATAACTTTATTTATTTTGATATTATATATTTTTATATTTGATCAGATGAAATCGCGAATTTACTTTTTCATATCGATAGGGTCTCGCGTTATGAGTCTATAGCTCAGAGCCTCACATTTTTATATGTATCATTATTTGGTGAAGGAGGCCTGTTACATGGCATAGCTTAGGACCACAAAAAGTTTATGTCCAGCCCTGACCGTGGGATCTGTTTCAGTTTTTCTCACACAGAACGGGCCTACCCTTAATGGGGTCGAACACGATCGGTGAAAAGTAAATATTTTTACATTTGTTCTTAGTATATGTGGTTTTAAAAGAAGAATGTAGACAATTTAAGAGACATGAGTCGAAAAATTTAATATAAGAAAAAACAAATGGTTACAGTAAGCTTTCAACCCGATAGTTAATTTCAATATGGGTTACTAATGCGAGGATTAATAGGAAATCTTCTACGCGAATTTTCTTCTTTTCCAATTTCTGTATTTCTATGGAAGAACTTAGGCGATTCTTGACAATTAACTTTATTCCACCAGTCACAAGTGAAAGACCTCTGATTGAAAACTGTTCCATTGACGCACAGAAAACTTCTTTTACCGCCGGTATTTAAGCAAATGTGATAAGTCTAAAAAAATGCAAAAATTACATAAAAAATACTTAAAAATCCATAAAAATTCTAAAAGATTATATGATTTACCTGACAACGGGTATTCACATCGGCGTAGTAACCTGGAGCCTTTCCACGGCACTCGAAATCTTTACTTGGGATATTGAAAGTTGGATAATCTCTACCTGGTACTCCTGGGATTGAAGATTTTTTATAATTTTTGGGTGGGCTAGCCGGTCTATATGGTCTTCTCGTTGGTTTGCGTGTAGGCTCTGGAAAGTACTTCGGAGTATTTTGAGATTTTTGAGTAGGATAAGGTCTTCTAGGAGGAGGAGGAGGAGGAGGAGGAGATTTTCTAATAGGTGATTGATGTTTCCTAGGAGGTGAAGGTGTTCTTCGTGGTGGAGGAGCACGTGTTTTATATTGGTTTTGCTTATTTCTGTCGTATCGACTTATTCCCCGAAGTGACTCCTATAGAATTAAATAATAATCAACGTAAAAAGACTGTAACGATTGTTATAAGTGTAGGCTTTTAAATCTTAGTTTATCATCTTTGATTTAAGAATTCTTAAGAAATAAACTTTAAGACTTTACTCCATTTTAAGTATTTAAAATTAATAAAAATTATTACGAAAAATAATCTATTTAAATTAGACTGATTATTCAACAGTTCTATGGTAGAAAATAAATTAATTTTTTTAGAATGAAGTACTTACTCTTCGATAACTTTCTTGGGAATATACTCCAATCAGAAATATTCCTGGACAAAAATATAAATATAAAATAAATATTTATATAAATTGTATTAATTAATGAAATTAAATATCACACTCACCAAGTATAAGTAGTAAAAATGCTAACTTCATTTTAGGATATTGAAGTGTTCACTTTGAATTCAGTTCCAAAAGAGCAAAAATTATAGGAATATGTTTGACTTAACTGAGTGACTCTTTGTCTGGCGAGTTGGCACGCCTTTATATATAGTGCAAGTTGTGAATTATTGGACAGTGCATTCACTTTGACGACCTTCAGGTGTTCTGGACGTCCTCACCTCTCGACCCTTCATCCGGATAACAGACGGATCACCGGCAATTCTTCGAAATTCACAAGAACCGAAAGTTTTTCTAATGCAACCTTTGACCTTTAATGATATAAACATAATGAGTAGCAACGTGTCATGATCCGGATTTGAAAAAAACGAATAGAACCTTTGATCACTAAGAGCACTTTTTCTCACGCAATTGCTCAAAGAAAATTAGATAAATCCTTCCTTTTCTCTCGAAAACATTGTCAAAAAAACATTTATTTTCTTCTGTAATAAAGATAATTAAATGAGAAAATCGAATTTATTATACAAAATTAGTTTACATTTTTTTAAAATCCAAATTAAAGATGAAATTAGCATAAATTCAATCAAACTTTAGTTAGAAAATACAAATTAAAATAAGGTTGGAGGATATTATATTTGAATAAAAATCTTTAAAAAAACATTTTATAAGGTCTATGCACCCGCGTTAGTTAACAGTTGCAAAATATGATTTATGCTTGCTGCAGCCAATACATTAAGGTGTAAATCAACTTCCAAGTAAGTACCTAAAAGCTTATTCTCAGAATACAGGTTTATAAAAACTTTTCATTCTCACTTTAACGACTTTCTTCCACTTGATTTTGAAAGAAAGCTTTTGAATATTTAATTATTTGCCATATTCTAAACACGATGATATGAAAAATTGATTCGTCTGTTAAAGGAAAATGAAACTTTCATTATTCTTCAAAGGAAAATTTACGAAGAATATAAAATAATTTATTTATAAATTTATCTGTTAAGAAGTTACAAACGTTTATAAACAAATAAAAACGCAACATTTGG